CCAGAGGGGTAAGGAATGGGAGGCTTGAGCTTTTGGGCCAGAGGGGCTGCAAGGTGACATGCTCTGTTTGTGGAGGTTGGTTTTAGGAACTTCTGCCTCTGCTGCTGGAAGCCACCTGGTAAAGGGGCCCTTTTGTTAAAAGTTTTCAATACACGTGTGTAGTAGATTCAGTCCTTCTATCAGCCTGCTGGGCCTCGCTCCTTGTCCTTACCCAGTTCAGTGCACGTATGCACACCAGACCCCCAACACCCCCGTCTATATCCCCCACCCTAGACACACATACCGTATACCCCTCACACACACACCCACCCTTCACACACAATACTACATACACTTCCACCTCCTCCCACACCATATGCATACCCTATTTCATACACACACACTCTCTATTCACACATATACACGTGAAATCCCCCCATCGTACACCCCCACACAACATATGCACACTACATACATCCTCACCCCTCACACCACACTCATCCACCCACAGACTCACACACATACTCTATATCATGCAGATACACCACACCCGCCCCCATCCATATAGTACCACTATAACACACGATATGTACACACACCACACATATCCCAGCCCACATGCACATGCACATACCACACCACTCCAGGCTTGTGAGATGTGAGACAAGCCCTGGCAGATCCGGGGCCTCTTGGGTGAGCATGCATGAGCCAACCTGAAGTACTTAGGAAACTAGAGCAATTTCAAATGGTGCTAGCGTGAGACTAATTTGGGCATCTCTTTGAGCTGCCTGGAATTGTGCCTTGGGTAACTATGGCTGGCAGATGAAAGGGGGATGAAGTGAGTTTGGACATGCCTGGTTTAAGTGGATCAGCAGATCTCAAGAGAATCCCCTCAACATGTCTAATACATTTGATGCCTCGTCCATCCCTACATTCCTTCTGAGGTAGGATTTCATCTTCCTGTGGGTCTGTTCCTTTGTTTAATATCCTCCCTGTCAAAAGTTCTTTCTTATGCCCCCTAGAAGTCCTAAAGGTGCTTTATTACCACTTTCTGTATCTAATCTGGCCACAGCCTAAACCTTTCTCAAGGGTGAGTATCCCCAAATCCCTGCTCGGCCTTTCACTGTGCCAGGTTCAGGTCCGCTAAGCAGTTTGGGATGGAACAAAAGTTGAAATCATTTCTTTGTAACAATTAGCAAACATGCCTGGAGGGAGGATGTAATAATGTCTCTGAAGCATAATTCTGGACAGGATACAGTGGAAGATGGAAAGAATTCCAGAGCTTGTTTTTCCCGAATGTTCTACTTTGGTTACTCCGCAAAGGGAGCATCAACCCACCCCCGGACAACCACTGATTGATGACTGCTGATTTGTTCTTAAATTGTTGCCCTTCAGAGAGACGGGGGTGGGGAGAGCACGAGAGCACCCAGAGAGGTACAGTGGCACAGAAAGTTGCCGTGGGGCCCCTGCTGAGGGTGCTTGGGTATGGAGGTGAACTGTGCTCACCTGGTCTTTTACAGTCTCTGAGCATGGGACTGAAACTCAGGGCCCATTTGCAGAACTGTCCCCTAAACCTTTGAAAACCAAGTCACCAGCCACATCAGCCTCTAACTCCTGCTTCCTCCAACCCTGTGGATCAAAAGTCAGCAGCTTCCCTTCCTTTCCCCTGACATGTGCTACAGTGGAGAATGAGGCCCAGCCTCTGCCCTGCGGTGGAGGCCTGAGGCTGCACCACTGAACCCTGTCCTCCCTCCCGCTGCATGCATCCACTCAGAGATCTGAGCAGGTCAGACTCTTTGGGAGATGTAAGAGTGGACACTTGCATTTTCATCAGTGGAAATAAGACATGGAGCAAACAAGAAACACAGCTGCCGGGTGTAGTGGTGCACACCTGTAATCCCAGAGGCTTGAGAGGCTGAGGCAGGAGAATCACAACTTCAAGACAGCCTCAGCAACTTAGTGACACCCTAAGCAACTTAGGGAGACCCTGGCTCTAAATAAAAACATAAAAAGGCCTGGGGATGTGGCTCAGTGGGTAAGCACCTCTGGGTTAACTCCCAGTACCAAAAAGAAAGAAAGAAAGGAAAGAAATGAAAAGAAATCTTAGGATTTTGAGGAAGAAAAAGTTCATCCTAGTTAGGGAAGCCAAAAAGGGCATTATGGTGGGAAGGAATTGGAACTGGAGCTGCAGGGATGTAGAGCTATGAGCACACATGCCACTGTGCACGAGGTACAGAGGAGGCAGGCAGGCTCCACATAAAGGGAAGCCATCCCGGGTGGGTGAGATGATGCGCCTGTGGTTGGCAGAAGAGAGAGCACACAGGTAGCCACCTAGTCCCAGCCGACCACCTCCCCAGCGTGGCCTGGTTCTTCACTGCTCTGAGCCTAACATCTTAACCCTCATGGAGAAGGGGCCACTCTGGGGAATGGACTGCATCTCTAGCAAGCAGAGAAGATTCCTGGGGCAAAGTGCAAGTGAGGAGATGGGGAAGGCGTGGTTCGGCTCCAGTGGCCCAGATGCGAATGGAGGAGTGAGGTCAAACTGAGGCAAGGCTCTAGAGAGCCCCACAAGTCCTGTCAGCTGGGATGTCATTTGACACCTAGCGAGGAACCACTGGGAAGTGTGGAGCAGGGGAAGATGGGATTAGAGCTGGGCTTCAGTAATATTGATCAGTCAGGCCCTAGTGTGTAGACATGGACGTGAGGCTGGAATCAGAGCACCCGTTAGAATGTTCTTGAAATATTTCTGGTGAAAAGCAATGCCTAAGGGGGGACAGGGACAAAGAACAAGTCATAGAAGTTTTTTTTTTTTTTTTGGTGACCAAGCCAGTGGGGTCATTGTGAAGACAGAAGTCACCACCTGGTTTGGACACTCAGTAGATGTGATGATGTCATTGCTTTTGTCCTCAGGCTTCCTGATTCAGACTCAAAGCAACACTCAACAAGTCTTTTTATCTAGAGCCTTCTGCCTTTTCTAGGATTCACCCTGAGATTGAGAGACTGTACCCTGATGAATACAGGCACAGAAGCTAGTTCGATGGTGGCAATGACTCTTCACCATGATCCCACAAAGTGCTTCCTGTTATCAGGCCCATCCTACGACCGAGCAAACTGAGGTGTTCCCTCAACTAGCGCTGGGAGTCAAGTCCAGGCCTGTGTGACTGCACAGCCTGTGTTGTCAGCAGCTCTGCCATAATGCTTTGGTAGCTAGTTTGGATCAGGCTGATTTTTAATTAACTCTAAATGTAATAATTTAGTTTGAAAAAAATCAGCCAGGAAAAAAAAGTAAAACAAAATTAAAAAGTAGGTACGTGTGGCTGGGACCTACTCTGCAGTGAACATTCTGAGCCAAGTGATTCCACCCAGGTGGGCTCACTGGATCTTTCCAAAGGCTCTGCAAAGTGTCTTAGAGGCACAAAGTCCTCACTTGAGGTCACCAAGTGATGGGGGTGGGGCACAGATGTGCATCCAGGTTGACTATCAGTTCTTCAGCCTGGGGTGTTTTCTGTGACTCCTCCTGGTGCCCATAAGTGACAGCCAGGGCCTGCCAGCTATGTTACAGATTTCAGACTACCTACCTTTGAACATGGCATAAAATTAATATTTATTGTACTGGATTGAACTAAACCCCAAATGGACCTTATGGACATTAAGAGGGGATTGGATGGATAAATAAATAGACACCATGGAGATGTTAGAAGAATGAGATATCTGTGCTGACAGGGAACCTATTTTAAAAGAAAAGCAGTTTAGGGAAGAATATGTGGAGAATTGCTTCTTCTTCTTCTTTTTTTTGTTGAAAGAGAAAGTTTTCTTACCAATAGCCATTTCTGTTTACATGTACAAGGAAAAAATAAAAGTGTTACAAAACAACTTCAAGCTGGTGCAAGTTGCCTGAAATAACAGAAGTTCCCAAGTTCAAGGTCATTCTGGGCAACTTGATTTTCAAAATCAAAGTAAAACAAAACAACTACAACAAAAATCTTCAAATTTATACTAGCGCTTGAGGGGTAGGATCATGGAGCACTTGTGCATATTTTATAGTAAGAACAAAACTGAAGACACTTCTATTTTGAAAGTAGCAAAAATTAAAGAGAGGAAGAGAAAAATAAGTCATGTCTCATGGCAACAGAAACTACCAGAATAAGGATGTGCCTCGGGTCGGGATTCTCTGTGGTAGATTCCTCAGAATGGGCCCTGGGGTCCTAAATGTGAAAAGGGCTTGCTCTCTCTCTTCTCTCCATCCCCTACATACTATGAAATATTTTCATTACAGCAAAAAAATATGGGCACACTGCAAGGAACGAGGACTTCTTGGGACAATGGTTAATGCCACTTGTGGAGTTGGAAGTGGGCATGATGGGCCAGAAAAATTCATTGGAACTAACTTGAAGGGTCACCTGCTGGCTCAATATGGGGTGATTTGAGCAACTCAAAATATCTTCAGTAAGTTGAAACACACCAAAGATGTTTAGAATCCATTGGCATTTGCTATCGCACCAGCCTATTGTTTTGACAGTTGGTAAATAGATGAGGAAAACACCCCTGCCCCAGGTACTTATCTTTTTTCTACCTCATGGTGAGCTAGTGGTTGAGGAGGGAAGATTGCAATTATGGAAGAATTATAGCTAACAAATGCAGAAAAAGAAATAGAAGTAGAGAAGTTCCTAATGATAGATAGAGTGGGTCTCAGAGATGATCATCAATGCCTCTAAAACTTGCAGGTGAGATGCTAAAGGAAACTTCAATGGATGGTGAAGGCTGACAATTCCAATCGAACGTGTCAGTCTTAAACCACCAATAGAGAGGCACACAGCTGTATCTGCCTCCTGATGGAATACAACAAGAAGCGCCCAGCCCCATCCATGAAGTGTTTTGCCATGAACTCAGGCCTCTAGATCTAAGCACCATTCTGTAGAAAAGATGGGCTCATAGACCCATGTTAAATGACACCTTTGAATTTCCACCAGCAAAACTCCAAATATGGTCAATTCTATAGAAGAAAAGAGACTCAAGAGACATTTCAAATGAATGCAATTTGTGGATCTTGTTTGAATGCTGATACAAACAAGCTAACTGTAAAATTGGTCACACATTTAGGAGGCAATGAGAGATATCTGAATCACAACTGGATGTGTAAGGATGATAGAAATATTTATGGATAAAATGATGTGATTCTTGGAATTTGTTTCAAAATAATCCAGGTTTGTGGAGCTAGAGAGAGAAGTGGATGGTGATATGGATGAAGGGGTCCTGGCCGTGTGTGGATGTGTTGGTAAAGTTGGTTGGGGTGTGTAGGGACTTACTGGACCACAACCTCTGCTGTGTATGTGTTTGGAGATTTCTGTGATAAAAATGCAACAACAACAAAAAAGCAATAAAGAATATGGACTCACAACTTAATTCTTCTGCCACGATGGTGGTTGATTTGGGGTGTATGTGTGTGTAAAGTGTGAGTGAGGTTGTGTATGCGTGTGTGTGTGCTCTCATGCTCCATTTGTCCTAATTCAAGTTGCAACTCTGGGAACAACTGTTTTCTGTGGGAAAGGCCCTGCTGACAGGTGTAGAGAATGCCCTAACCTCACAGGCCCGGGGGTTGCCTGGTAGACAGGCAGAGACACGGAGCCCTGCTCAAGGGACTGCTGGGGCGAGCCCCACGCGGTTATTTCCACGATCAAAAACTGAGTAAAACTGCCGAATGAAGACATCGCCCAGGATCCAGAGAGGCCCAGATGGAGGCTGGATGTCGAGTCCTTGAAAGCCACTGCTGCACAACTTCATTCCATCCACAAAGTCCTGGGGTCACAATGAAGTATGTAAATGACATACAGGAGAAGAGGGGAGCAGCGCTGCCCCCATTTTCGCTGGTGGATCCATCCTCCCACTTCATATAATCCTAGCCCAGTTTGCTCAGTGAAGTATTTGTTTGCACAATTTCATTCATCCATGTTCTACAACTCTGAGAACTGCTCGTCTGCCGGGCACCCTCACACCACCATCGTTTGACAGTTAGAAAAACGGAAACCTTATTGCATGTCCAGAAAAAACAAAAGCCTTGGCACTAGAAGACCCTGATTTAAATTCTGGTTCCCTTAGTTTCTGGTAAAGCTCAAGTTCATTTTTTTTAGGGAGAGAGATTACACTATAAGTGTAATCTAACCACTGCTATTTTCTTATTGGTGTTCTTGGAGGAATCACTTGAGTGAGCTTTTTTAGATACAGAGCAGGGAGGCTTCCACTGTTCTGTACAACCCTTGCCCCCCCCCCCTCGCCCTGCCGACCTAAAGCTCATGTGTAAAACAATGCAGGAAGGTTCGGAGGAGAAATGATTGGGTTGTGAGAGTCTTAACCCAATCAGTGACTTAATCCCCAGATAGGGATTAACGGGATGGTAACTGAGGCAGCTAGGGTGTGGCTGGAGGTGGTAGGCATTGGGAGTGTGACTTTGGGGTGTATATTTGTATCTGGCAAGTGGAGAGCTCTCTCTCTCTGCTTCCTGATCATCATGTGAGCTGCATCCCTCTGCCACGCTCGTCCTTCATGTTGTTCTGCCTCATCTCGAGCCCAGAGGAATGGAGTCGACTTCTGTGGACTGAGACCTCTGCAACTGTGATTCCTCAAATAAACTTTTCTTCCTCTACAATTGTTCTGGTCAGATCTTTTAATCACAGCAGCGAACAGGCTGACTAAAACAGTTGCCAAAGAATTGCAATGTTGGAAATCGAGACCAGTGGTGGTGGAAGGGACTCTAGGTTTTCAAAATGCCCAGGAATTTCCTTTCTACCTTGCCCTCCACACTTGAGAATCTACTGCAATAAAGACATTTTCTTGCTTGTTGAGGAATGTGAATTTGAATGTTAGATAAACCTCATTCTGTACCCCTCCCCCAAGCAACTCATATGCTGAACCATTTACTTAACCTCAAGAGTCTCAATATTCTCATTTATACAATGGGATAATAATAGCTCTTGTCAGACTTGGTGGTCGAGGGGATTCAAACTGTCAATGGATAAATCCGAAGGGACAATATCAGAAAACCCCCTTACATGGCTTGCCTAAGGTTCGTGGCTATTTCATGGCAGAACTGGAAATGAGAACTAGTCCAGTGGAGTTGCCATCAGATAAGCTGGATCCCTGTTGGGGGGGACTGGCACATCAGGACAGGACAATGTGGGAGGGGGCTTGGGGTACATGTAGCTAAGTGCAGGCGACTGTTGACAAGGGGAAGTGGCAGGCTTGTGGGCAAGGCCCTGTGACTTGCAGAAAAAGGAAATGGAGCTTACCAGCAGCGTGTAGGCAGTTGGGCTGAGGGTGTAGGAGACGCCGTTGATGATGAAAGTGATATCTGGCATGTCGCTGAGGTTGGCACACTCCACGGTATACTAAAACAGAGCACAGGGACCCACTCAGAGGCTGCCCATTTCCCAGGAAAAGGCTGGACTCTCCTGCTCCTCTCCCCTCCCCACCCCACTCACCTCTCCATCCATGGGCGCCGCCCCAATGGCCTCTTGCAGCTGCTTGATCTTGTGGGAAGGGCCAGTGATGAGGGAGGTCCCTGTGTCCACAATGGCCTGGCAGCCCTCAGAGCAGAATGTCACAGTGTCTCCCACCAGGATTCTGAAGGCAAAGGGATAATCATGAGCCCTGCTTCCCCGGGTCCCCAGCACCTCCTGCTCCCTGTAGGGCTCTTTATTGTACCAGAGCACTTGACGATGCCCATTTTAATCTCCCATCACATCACATGGGTGTTTAATCATCTCAGTCTCTCTCTCTCTCTCTCTCTCTCTCTCGCCTGAGTTCCATAGTAAGAAATACACTGACTTTTTTTTGTGGGGGGTACTGGGGATTAAACTCAGGGGCACTAGAGCCACATCCCCAGCCCTATTTTGTGTTTTTTATTTAGAGACAGGGTCTCACTGAATTGCTTAGTGCCTCAATTTTGCTGAGGCTGGCTTTGAACTCACGATCTTCCTGCCTCAGCCTCCCGAGCCACTGGGATTATAGGCGTGTGCCATTGCTCCCGGCAATACTTACTTCTTGATGTAACACACATACAATTCAAGGGCACTCTGATATTTTCTGTTGTATTACATTTCATTAAAAACTGCAGGTCAGGATCCCCGACAATGATGTCATGGCCCATCAGTAGGTACATCCCCACAGTTTGAAAGGGCTTCAGTAGACGGTGAGTATTGCGGCTTTTGTACTCTTTGGTACCATGCAGAACCTGATACTTGAATGATACTTCTTTGAATTCCTGTCTAGCACGGCTCCAGGTACACAGCAGGCATTTAGTTGCATTTCCCCATTTCTCCACACCCATGTACTGTACTGGTTTTTAAGATTCAGTTTCAACTCTACTCCCTCCATGAAACCCTTAAGAGATCTTCAGAGAGGAGCTGTCTTGCCCTGTTTGCTGGGCCTCTTTGGTGGCTCCTCCTTGGCAGCCCTGACCATTTCCACTTTATGTAGTAGCTATTTGTGTGACTGTCTTTGCATCCCCATGTCCCTCCGTCCTTGCCTTGTGTGTCAATTAACCTTGTGTGTCAATGAACCAACACAGGGCAGCAGGCTGCATATTGGTATTGACTTTCTGTTGAATGAGAGGTGCACCCCACATACAAGGAATGAAGCTGCTTCTGTCCCTGGTCACTAATTCCTCTTCCTGTATCTTTGCTCAGCATCTCCACACCTTCAAACCACAGCTTCCGCTCCTATTGACCGGCAGTGTCACTCAATTTGAGTTGTGTCTGTTTTGAGTTCTACCACCAAGCGGCCGCCACTTCATGGAGGATACTCACTTATCCAGTGCAATCTGCCAGTAGGCTTGCTTGGTGACCGGGACCCAATTCAGGCTCCCGGAGAAATGAGCGCTGTCATAGCCTCCGAACGTCAGCTCACTACTTGAGCCACCTTGTGGATCACTATATGGAGAGAAAGACAAATTGTTGAGGGATGGCCCCATGAGGGAACTGAGGCCCTGGGAGAGGAAGCCATGCAGGTGGTAGGATTTATATCCAGGTTGGTCTGACTGCAGGGCCCTTGCTATTGCCCTTCACTGCTCACTTGTTCCTGGGACAGATGGAGCAGGAAGCCCTGCAGGGGAAAGCTCAGGTACCCAGACAGCCTGCCTGTCCTACGGTTCTGCCTAGGCCTGTCCTGACTGCAGCCATGCTGGGGACAAAGCACAACCTGGGAAGGGGAGCTCAGAACTTTTCATGTGGGATGAGGAAACAGGGAAAATGGGCTTATGCTGGAACAGGGTGAACTCAAGCCAGGCCTACCCAGGAAGGAGTCAGAGGGGTAAGAAATCTCCATTCCATGTAGGGAGGATGAGATGACCGCCCACAAGCCCCTGGAAAGAGTACCCAGAGGCACATAAGCCTCAGGACCTCTTCAACTATAATGCATAAAGTTTTGGGGGGGTTTTTTGGTACTGAGGATTGAACGCAGAGTTGCTTTACTACTGAGCCACATCACCAGCCCTTTTTATTTTTTTATTTTAAGACAGGGTCTAGCTAAGTTGCTTAGGGCCTCACTAAGTTGCTAAGACTGGCCTCAAATTTATAATCCTCCTGCCTCAGCTTCCCAAATCGCTGGAATTATAGGCATAAGCCACTATACCCAGCTACCATGTCTAAAGTTTTATTTAATTGTGGTAATATATGCAGATAGCATAAAACTTCCCATCTTAACCATTTTTTTGAGTGCTCAATTCAAAAGAGTCAAGTACTCTCACATTGTTGCCAAACCAACCTGCAGAACTCTTTCATTCTGCAGAATGAGACTCTATGTATCCTCCTTCCTCCTCCTCCAGCCCCTGGCAACCGCCATCATACTTTCTGTCTCTATGCTTTTGACAGCTCTATGTACCCTATGCCAGTGGAATCATATAGGATCTGTCTTACTGTGACTGGTTTATTTCACCTAGCATACTGTCCTTGAGTTTAATCCATGTTGTAGCATGGGTCACGATTTCCTTCCTTTTTAATACTGAATAATATTACATGCTATGGACAGACAATGTTTTGCTCATCTGTTAGCAGGCAATTCTTTTCTTGTCAGTTTACTTTATAAATTTGTTCCTGCCTCCCCCTTTATTTTATTGTGCCCCAGTGTCTAACATTATGCCCAGCATGTAATAGGAACTTGGTATTTATGTACTAAAAAATAAGTCAATTCCAGAGATCCTTAAATTCAATAATTGCTGTAGAATTTACAAAGCGCTTGTCACAGCTACTTTATGAAGTAAACCCCATTTCTTCAGAATCCAGAGAGGTTAAATGTTTTGCCCAAGATCACACAGCTGACAACAAGCCAAGCAAGGGATCCAAGTCAGCTCTTTTGGCCACTAAGTCTGGGGCACCATGTTGTCTTCCTGTAGTCATCACTGGCCTTAACTGGTGGGCTGGATGGGCCTTACCTGCTCATGTAGACAGAAAATATGGGCAGATCCACTAGGTTCTGGGCCATCATGTTGTCAAATACTGGAGTCACGCCTCCAGCAGCCAAGGAAGGGTATCCCAAACCCAGGATTCCATCAAACTCTGCATTCACGAAGGTCTGGCCGGGCTCTTTGACACTTTCTCCAAATTGCTGGCCAATCACGGTCAGTCCTCCCACCTGCAGGGAGAAAGCCCGTAGGAAAACTGCAGAGGGGATGGCAGGCAAAGGGTCTCGGACCCCTGCATCCTCCCTGTATCCTGATGCTACTTCCCTTCTCAACTTTCCTTGATAAAATGGGCACAAAGACTTTTTGAGGGGAGGGTACTGGAAATTGAGACCGGGGTGCTTAACCACTGAGCCACATCCCCATCATTTTTTTTGTGTGTGTATTTTATTTAGAGACAAAGTCTCACTGAGTTGCTTGGGGCCTTGGTAAATCGCTGAGGCTGGCTTTGAACTTGCTATCCTCCCAAGCCACTTCTAGGATTACGGTCGTGTATCACCACACCCAGCTAAGATTTTTTTTTTTTTTTGCATTCACTTAATTTCTTTTGTGCAAATTTAATTGAAGTAAATAAAGTACAGATATAATAAGTATTCTATGGTATAACATATCACCATATTTATCTATTCTACCACTGATGGATATTTGGGTTGTTTCCTGTATTTGACTATTACTAATGGTGCTGGTTGTATACATCTTTTGGCAAATACATGCATGTTTTTCTGTTGGATATAGACCTGGGAATAAAATCGCTAGATTACAGGGAATACAAGTGTAATGCATGAGTAAATAGGAAAAAGAGTTTTTCATAATCATGGTACCTATTGATATTTCCACTACTAATATTTTGGGAATTCCAATTGCCCCATATCCTCACTAACACTAGTTATTTTCTGTCTTTTCCATTTTAATTTTCTAGTTGATGTGCAGGGGGTTTAACTGTGGTTTTAATTTGTATTTTCTGGTAATTAATAAAATTGAACCTTTGGATATCCCCTTTTATAAAGTGAGCTATGGTCATTTTCTTGTTGATATATTCCAGAATCAAGTCCTTTCTTGTTAATTACAAAAATCTTCTCCCAGACTGTGAGTGGTGCTTTTACCCTCTTAATAACATCTTAAGTTGAGTAACAGAAGATATGAATTTCAATGCAGTCAAGTCAATTTTTTCCTTTAGTACTAGTGAGTTTTATAACTTGTTTCAGAGAATTATTCCACCCTGAGGTCATGAAAATACTTTCCTATGTTTTCTCCTAAAAGTTTTATTGTATTATGTTTTATATTCAGATCTATAATCTACCTAAGGCTTATTAACACATGAATCTCCGAGTGACCTAGCACTATTTAATGATATAATAATATACCATTATTTTCTCCGCATTCTGAAATTCAGTTTCTGAATTTTAAATTCTGTTGCATTTGTCCATTTTCTTAATCCTGTGCCAGTACTAAATTACTATGATTTTATAATAATATTTGGCATTGTTTTCCTTCATCAAAATTATCTTGGTGTATTACATTATATTCATATACATGTTAGAATCAGCTTATTAATTTCTAATAAAAATTGCTGCTATTTTGATTGGGATAACATTGGATAAATAGATAAATTTGAAAAATTTAGACTTCTTTATAAAACTGAGTCATTCAATCTGTGGGTATAGTTTATCTTTCAATTTATGCAGATCTTTTAATTTCGTTCAGTAATGTTTTAAAGTTTTAGACTACGTTATTTGTTAAATTTACTTCAAAGGTAGTTGATGTTTTTTGATGGGATTAATAGTGCCATTAACAAACCATATTTTGTTGCTTTGTTCCTGCTTTATAGAAATACAAATTATTTTTTGTATGTTGGCCTCATTTCCTGCAACTTCACAAAGTTCAGTTATTAATCCCAACATTATACCTGTTGATATTTTTGGATTTTCTATTTATAGAATCTTGTCATATGTTAATGATAAGATTATTTCTTCCTTTTTTTTTGTCTTAATTACCTGGATTTCTTTTTTCTTGCCTTATTGCATTGGCTAGAATCTTCAGCACAATGTTGAATTCAGACAGTAAAAATGAACTAAAAAGAATCAAATAGTAATCAAATAGTAAAAATGAGCATTCTTGTCTCATTCATGATCTCAGGGAGAAGTCTCTCAACAATTCACCATGAAGTGTAAAGTTTGCTGTGGGCTTCTTTGTTAGATATTCTATAACAGATTAAGGAAGTTGCTTTATATTCTAGTTTTCTAAGAGTTTCTTTATTTAAGTCATGAATAGATATTGAATTTTATCAGTTGAGAAAATCATATGACTTTTCTTTTTTTATTCTCTTAGTTGATTAATTTTAGGGAGAAATGATTTTTGGTTGGGATATATTATCCCTTTATATATCTCAAGATTTTATTTGCTAGTATTTAGGACATTGGCATCTATATTCACAGGAGAAAATTGGTCTGTAATTCTAATTCTTATACTATCCTTTTCAAGTTTTGCAATTAACTTATTCTGTTCTCATAAAATGACTTATGAAGTATTCCTTCATTATGGGTTTTCTGGAAGAATATAGGTAAGGTTGATGTTATTTCCTTTTTTTTCTGTGTTTATTAACTTTGGGAATGTTTGTTTTTCAAAATGTTTAAAAACCCATAAGATTTTTCTAGTCATTTCTTTTTAAACATTTAGAAGAATGTACCATTGGGGCTAATTGAGTCTGGAATTTTCTTCATGGAAAGAGTTTGAATAACAGAGTGAATATTCAACTAGATACTGATGTATTCATATTTTCTGACATGAAAATATCAGTTTTGATATGCCATATTTCTCAAGGTATCTGCCAATTTTTTTAAAGTATAAAATTTATCAATAAAAAACTATCATTGATAGCTTCTATTTTAAATGTCCACAGGATCTTTATTAATGTCCTCTTTTTCATTTCTAATATTGCTAAGTTATATTTTATTTCATTTTTCTTGACTAATTGTGCTAGGATCCACATTGGTAAGTCCCACATTGCTCTCTCACTGTCCTAGTCCCTTGATGATGGGGGTGTCCTGCAGCAAAAAAATTTATTGCTCCTTGAAAAGAGTTAATTCTTGGCTTTGTTGATTTTCTCTGTAATCTGACTTTCCTATTTCATCGATATCCTGTTGGTCTCTTTACTATTTCTTCCCTTTTGCTTTCTTTAGGTTTGATTTGCTGTTGCTTCTCGATAGTTTTCTTGTTATTTTTACTTGAAACAGAAGCTTAATTCATTAAATTTTCACCTTTTCTAATACATGCATTTCAGATTATAGCTGTCCCTTTAAGAACTGCATTAGCTAGCTATATATGTGAACTTTACCATGCTGTGGGTACACACACACACACACACACACACACAGAGGCACACACATGAGATGGAGTATATTTAGATATTTGACTATACGCAATTGTAGATGTCAGTTAGCAGCATACCTTAGAACATTGTTTCTGTCTGAGTGCTATAGCTTGAAGTCTACAGTTTGGGTAGCAGAAAGGGAAGACAGATGTCAAGTGGAAATAGGGTCAATTGGAACCTTCAAGGATGAGGGTGGACTAAGACCCACATTGCTGTCTCACTGTCCCAACTCTCTGATGATGGGGTGTCCTGCAGCAAAAGCTGACACTCCCTTTCACAGAGGTGAACATGCACCTGCCCTTGGAGCAAGAAGCCCTGGAGGAGGAAGCAACCCAGGCTGGAGCTGCTGTGGGCTTGGCTGCTGCCTGCACCAACCAGGTGAGCCAGATCATGAGTGCATGCTGTGGACTAGAATTCCCCTCTCCTTGCCAATTTCAATGGAAAACACAGTGTATTATTTTATCTCTGTGTTTTATATGTACATATTTTGACATATAAAGTGTTTTCTGCTTCTGTTTTTCACTTAATAATATACCCCTACCCACTTAGAAGGGATTTTATTTTTAAATCAGGGATTAAAGCCAGGGACACTTAACCAATGAGCCACATCCTCAGGCCTTTTTATATTTTATTTTCAGACAGGATCTTGCTAAGTTGCTTAGGGCCTTGCTATGTTGCTGAGGCTGGCTTCGAACTTGTGATCTTTTTTGCCTCAGCCTCCTGAGCTACTGGGATTATAGGCATTCATCTGGCTTTTAGAACAGATGTTCATGAAGGCTAGCCCCTGCTGCTCTTAGATAGTTCTTACTATCTCTAGTAAGAACTTACATAGTTTCTTAGAACTTAAACTACAGTCATCAGGAGTTGGTGACCTTTATTTTCCAAGGCGTAGGCCTAGACCGCTGCCCATAAGCCTGTACAAAGTAACCCTGCAGGACCAGGACCCTGCTGGTTCTCTGTCCTCACATCATTCTGAGTCCCACGGTTTTGGGAGCCCTACGATCTTTGGCCAGAGGGAGTTGAAGGAGCAACCTGTGCGACCTAGGCCCTTCATTTTGATATCTGGATTCTTCCTGGTCTCCACAGCTGGACTCCACCTCAGACTTTGCCCACTTATTTCACTGAGTCCTCCCACCCCTAGCAGCATCCGGTGGCTTGGACTCCTTTGCCTTTCAGGATGGAGGCCTGGTCTTGTCTCCTCAGACCCTCTGCAGATGGGTGTCCAGCCCTACCAGCAGTCTTTGTGCTCTGGGCACAGTTTCCCTTGGGAGCTCCCTGATGTCCCTCAAGAGCCCAGAGTGCTGAGCAGACTGACACACTGCCCACCATCTCTGGTGGGGAGGGCTGCTCCCCTGCCTGCCAGGCTTCCCCCTTTCCCTAAATCCAGCCTCACTCCCTCTTTCCACCTCTTCCTGAAGCAGACCTGAAACTGCACCCCCAAGTCCTCCCAACAACGTTCCCTCTCAAGTTTCTGGCCAAGAGAGGAGACACAGGAATTGTACTCACAGTGACTTGGTCAGCTCCGATGATCCCAGACAAGCTCCCGGTCCCATACTGAATGGAGAAAGAAGTGCCCAGCTCACTGTATGTGTTGGACTGGGAAGGGTGGAACACGGGGTGTGACTCTGGAAAGCAAGGGTACAGTCACTGCCCTCATCCCTGCCCTAGAGATGTGCCGTCTCTTCCCTCAGCTCCCAACACAGAACGGGCACCCCCAGAAAAGCTGACCATGGCCCTTCCTAGTGAGCCTACCAGGAGATGTGGCTTAATTGGGGAGCAAATAGTTGTCCCTGGGCAAACCTGACTGCCCGCAATGACCTCATGAGGCACACCTAGATAAGTGCCATTTATCAGGCGCCAACAGCAGTCTCAGCCAGTTGGTGTGGGGCAGAGCCTGGACTTCAAAAGAAACTCAGGGGTAAACGATCACCATTCCAGCAAAGTACTCCCGACCCTGCCCAACCTTGGGGATAACCTGGGTCAGGGTTTCCAGTGACAGAGGAGGTTCTCTAGAACTTGCCCCACACAGACTAAGACATTTTTCTTTATGTCTGTCTTCTTTTTTCAGTTTTCACTGAAACTGCTGAGTTACCTCTGGGCAAATGGACACACCCATGCCATTGTGACCCACAGCCCCACCTGGGGGGGGGGGGAGAAGGGCCACCAAATCTTCTCGAAGTAGGTGAACTGTTTGTACTTAGAAACTACAGTCATCAGGAGTTGCTGACCTTTATTTTTCAAGGTGTAGAGTCAGTCAAATGGAACTTTCTCCCATGTTCTTTTGGTGTTCCAGGGGAAGTGAGTCATAAAATCGAAGTTTTATCTTTTCAATGGCTAGGCTTCTCCCTCCTAATTCTGACCAGTATGAAGTTGTTATCATAGATAGTAACCACATTTTCTTTCTCTCCCTGACCCAGCCCTGTTTGAGCTGTAAGCAGTGCCAGGCAGACCCAGAGAAGGGGAGGGGAAACTCGGTGTGGCAGAGATAGCCAGTTTCTGGAACCCCATGTTCCCCAACCCCAGAGTACCTGGCGTCCCAGGACTGGACCCCAGTCATCTCCCACGAGGGCTCCTGTCCCCACTTACTGCAGGCTGGGCTGGTGCAGTACACAGAGGGGACCCAGAGATTGGAGGAGCCAGTGTCAAAGATGACAGTGAAGTTCTGTGGTGGGGAGCCAATGGAGATAGTGCCAAAGTATTCGACCTGCAAGGAGGGAGAGAGGGAAGGAGGCATGAGTGGAGGGCAGAGGCCACCAAGGGACCAAGGTAGAGTGTCTACGGCCTGAGCATAGGGTATAATGGACTGGTGCTTACCGAGCCTAGGAGATGGGATGGCTGGGAAATAAAAGAAGCAGAGGAAAGGTCACGAAGGAGGAAGATCTCTGAGATCTAGGAACTGGGAGATGTGGGACCCTGCAGTCCCCAGGCACTTTGTTTGATTTTACTTGTATTTTCTGGATTCCTAGCTTTGTAGCAAGGCAGGGGAGGCAGGAGCAGCTCCACATTAGGGATCAGGGCACCGGCTGGGAGAAGTCAAGTACTTTGCCTAAGGGCATAGTTAGTAAGCTGCCCAGCCAAGTGCAAAAGTGGGCTCCTTCCATTTGGGATGCCTGCATCCTTATCTCTTCCCTCCTGCAGAGAGCTCTACTCATTCCAGCCTTTCTACAAAGTCCACAGAGACCCAGGGGACCAGTCCTTATGAATCACCCAAACCAAGAAGTCCATAGTGACCTTCAACACTGCTGAAATGGCCCTCCTCCCCTGTCCCCGGGCCCCATCCCCAAGATGCCTCACATCCAAGTAGTTGATGAGGGGCTCGTTGGTGCCTTGGTCCTTGGTGCAGGACTCGGTGAACTGGATCATGTCCAAGTTCTGGGATTTCCAGAACTCAGAGAGCTGGCCCCGGGCCCGCAGCTTCTTCCGGAGGGACTGGTGCCTCTTGAGGGCCACCCTGAAGACGAAGCCCCATGTGAGGAGAGGACGCAGTTCTACCTCCCTCTCCTCCCCTCTCCGGCTCCCCCCTGCCTCTGTTCAGAGGTTAACTAGGAACTGACACAAGAGCAGAGCCAGCAAGGCTAGGGTGCAGCCAGAATCAGCACCTCCTCTGCCTCCAGCCAAGCAGCCTCATCTCTGCCCTGAGACTCTCAGAATCTTGCAGTGGAAAGGCTCTCCCTCCTGGACACAGGCTCTTTGAGATCTAGGAACTGGGAGATGTGGGACCCCCCCCCCCCCCATAGCATAACATGAGCTGCATCAAAGCTGATTTAAAGGGACAGAAAAACTGGGTGGCAGTAATGGTTGGCCTCTTGCTGGGGGGTGGGGGCGGGTACTAGAGGGTTTTGAGCAATAAACCACAAGGGCAAATTTCTGCTCTATGGTGGCAGAGGACTTCCCCAGGGCTAAGGGCAGGTGCCTCTGGAGCTCATTTGGCAGGGACTCGAGATAGAAGCCACCCACAAAGTGGCCACTGGAAACCTTTCCCATGGATCCCCATGGTCCTCAGTTTCTCTACATTTCCCATAAGCTGTGCTCCCCCAGGGCAGCCCAGAGCTGGGCTGGGGTTGGGGATGCAGGCAGGGGCTGTGCCAGTAGAACTCAGTGCCGGGGACACCGCCTCACCTGTGAAGGGCTCCTTGGGCCTGTCCCAGGTCGAGAAACACGAGCAGCAGCAGGAGGAGGGTTTTCATTGTGGTCCAACCAGCAGCTTCTCTCTCTCTCCACTGGAGTCTGCTTCACCCTCTCCTTTCTTCTCTCACACAGAGTGAGGACAGAGTGCGTTAAGTGGGCCGTGAGCTGGCTGTTGAATTGGGGAAACAATTCTCCCCAACACTGAGACCTGCCCTGCCCAGCCCAGCCCAGTCTGAGGACCCAATGATAAGGCCTGAAGTCACTAGCCAGGCCCAAAGTAAACAGTATGTGTAAGCGGACATTCCTTCCCCACCCCTCTGTCCCTTCTCTCCTGCAACAGTAGTGGGGGTCTGGGGTGAGAACCTGGGGGTCCATGCAACCTCTGAGAGTGAGAGAGTTATTCCAGGCTCAGCTTCTCCCGGGGTCTCTGGCACCCCATGCGGACTCTAAGAAACCCTATGTGCATTGGCTGAGAGAGTGACATGGCCCTGGATAGCAGGCACCACCCTATTGAACTGTTACTGTGAATGGTGCAGCTGAAGACTTCAGAGAGGCAGAAGCTCAAAATATTTTTTCTGTATTTCTTATGTCTCCTGAAGAATTATAGCATCCTCATCCCTGAGCTGTTGAAAGGAGCAGAACCAGAGCCCCTCACAGCTTTTCCAGTTTCCAGGCCTCTCCCGACCTCCCACTTGCCCCTGTTCATTAGGATTAGAGGCCCAGGCTGGAAAAAAGGCTGATTGGTGTGCGCAGCTGTGGACCACCTGGTCCCGAGTGGGGTAGACACCGGCTCACCTGTCTGCCAGGAACCCCAGGCTCTGGCCGGATTTCAGAAATTCTGACAAAGGGTGGACACATGGGGCCATTTGTCAGAACAATTGATTCTGTCCTCTTTGGAAACACCAGAGAAACAGGAAGTGCTATGCTCACAAATTACTGTTTGCTCCCCGGCTGGAACTGAACATTGCTATGGAAAATCATTGTGGACAATGGGAACAAAAGGCTTTGAGCATGTGCATGATGGTTGGCCGTGACTCTTAAGAAAAGGCAGGTGGGGGAACACTTGGGGTGCAACAGGACTATGGGGGCAAGAGTGGAGCCCAGAGTAGGTAATCATTCAGCCTCTCAGTTCTGGGAGAGGGCCTTGGGGGAGAGTACTCAGGAATGTGGATAGGAGGCTGGCTGGATGCAGAGCTTTTCTGTGTTTCCAGAACATTTGAGGCTGTTAGTGGTAACACCATGTAATCGTCTAATTGTTTTTTAGCTTCAGCTTTCAGAAGATAAATCAGTGATAAGAGTGCTCTGTGGAAACCAACTTTACCAGAGCTCAATAGCTCTGAGGACAGAGTGTGTTAAGTGGGCTGTGAGAGGGCTGCTGATGACGGGGCCCAGGACCGTAGGGTAATCTTGGCTCTGGCAACAGCTTCTGCTCAGCATGAACTGACCAACTGGTTGGAAAGTGCCCCAACCTTTTCCTGCCTGGAATTGATGAATGAAGGAAAATCCACTCGGGTACAGTTGAAAGAGAGCTGGGCTGGACCCCTGGATCTAGTCTTTGCCATTAACTTGCTATCTGACTGCAGAGAAATCAATTCTCCCTGAATCTAGTTTCTTTGTCTATAGAATGAAAAGTTTGGGCTGGGTGTCCACAATAAGACTCTTTTGGGGGCTTAAACTGTATTTCAGACTCTGAGTCAAGGAATATATAAGCATTAGCTCCTTCAAACCTGACACCAAACCTATCAGATCATTTTAAATCCATGATTTTTACACACCCAGAGGGTTTAAGTCACTTGCATAAGATGCTATGACCAGGACTGAAACCCAGGTCTGCCTGACTTGAAAGTGGCTTTCTTTAACCATGTTGCTGTATGGGATGATCTTTCAGGTCTTAGATTCTAGAATTTCTTCCTGAAAGACAAAGGCAGGAAAGGGGTGGGGAGGAGAGAGAGAGAATAGGTGCTGCATGGCAGAAAACTTGAGGTCTTTTTATCATAAGAAGAGGTGTGTACAGGGTGAGGTGTGGAGGTGGAGCTGCAGGATAAGAAGTCTCATTACCTATTTTTTTGGTAAGCATTTTCTATTTTGCCTTCAAGGAGCCTCCCAGCAAAGATCATTATTGTATTGCTGACAGGTGCAAAAAATCCTCCCAGGTGACCTCTGCAACCCCAACCCACAGAATTATATTAAAAAAATAAGTTTCATGTAAGTCAAATCATTCGTTTATTGCAAAATGAGAGCACCTGGCATTGACATGTATTTGGTTTTTCATGTGGCTTGATCTGCTTTGTGTTTTCAAAACCTCTTGTTTTCACGCAACTGAAAGAAGAAGGATTCAAGGTCTTCAGCATCTTCTGATGTAAAAAAAAAAATTAATTGGTTTGAGTAGTTTCCACAACCACCTGCAGTTCTCATCTGGGAAATTGACTTTCAGGGCAGAGGTTGCTGCAGTAGTCAGTAGAGGGCGCAGGGCAGGCACTGTGGAAGTTCCTCACCTGAAGATCACAGGGGTGTGTGTGTGTGTGTGTGTGTGTGTGTGTGCGTAAACCTATGCACGTGTGTGCAGACATGCATGTGAGCACTCATTTCTGTACTATAAGCATGAACAGCAATTCATGCCTCAGGCTTTCCAGGGAGCAGGGTCACAACCTACCTGACAGCACCAACTTCCGGGATTACAGGCATGCGCCGCCCCCCCCCCACCCCCCAATGGGCCCAGGTTTTGAAGGCAGCCAAAGCAGGATTTGAATTCCTACTCTGCCACTTCCTGGGAGATTGTGTGATATCAGGGATGGTTTGGAGTCTCTGATTCCTTCACTGTAAAAGAGGAAGGATGATATCCTTGCAAAATGATGTGAGGATCCCATGAGACCATCATCAGGATGTGTGCTGTGTCAGCCAGCCCAGTGCTTGACCTCAAGTAAGCTCTCAGTACAGAGAGCCCCAAGTAAGCTCTGGGCCACGTGTACCAAGTACCTGGTGCCTGATGGCGACCAAGGACCTACTGGATTCCAGGCACTGCTCTGAATATTCTAAATGCAAGAGGTGATAGGCCCAGAGAGGTGAAGGGATTTGTCCAAGGTGACACAGATGGTAATGATGGAACCAGGCTCAAGCTTAGGAAGTCTTTCTGTAGAGTTTATAACCTTAAATACAACTCTCAGCTGCTATCTACAGCTCACATATATGCACAGAAATACACCTGAAGTTCATTATACTATGTGTATTTTATTTGTTCAGGCAAGTTACTAAGGTTTCCATCTGTCCTCAGTTCTTCTGTATAATCAGGGGTTCAACCAGTGAAATTTGCTAACCTGTAATGGTATTGCTAGAAAAATGATTTACTGCATGTGTGAAAACTCTTGACACACAGTGAGTGCTCAGAAATAATTAGTTAAAATTTTATTAAAAGGAGAAGAGAGGGGCTGGGGTTGTGGCTCAGAGGTAGAGTGCTCGCCTAACATGCGTGAGGCAGTGGGTTCGATCCTCAGCTCCACATAAATATAAAATAAAAATACTGTGTCCACCTATAACTAAAAAAGAAATATTAAGAAAAGGAGAATAGAGAGTATGTCTAGGCAAAGGCATTATAAATCTAGTCCCTCGCAGCCACATCAATGTTTATAGTGGCTCAATTCACTATAGCTAAGCTCTGGAACCAACCTAGGTGCCCTTTAACATATGAATGGATACAAAAAAATGTGGTATATATACACAATGGAATATTACTCAGCCATAAATAGAAATGAAATTGTGGCATTTGACAATAAATGGACAGAACTGGAGACTATCATGCTCAGTGAAATAAGCCAATTCCAAAAAAAAAAAAAACAAAGGCTGAATGTTCTCTCTGATATGCGGATGCTGACTCACCATGGGGATGGGTTTCACTGGATTGGACAGGGGAGGGTGGATGGGAATGGGAAAGACAGTAGAATGAATTGGATATAACGTTCCTATGTTCATATATGAATACACGACCAGTGTAACAACCACAAAAATGGGAAGTTACACTCCATGTATATATGATATGTCAAAATACATTCTACCATCATGTGTAACTAAAAAGTACAAATAAAAAAATTAAAATTAAAAAAATTAAAAGTCCAAAAAAATGATTTCATATTTAAAAAAGAAGAAGAAATCTTGTCCCTTCCTTAGTCTGTAAGGGTTTCCATTTTTAGATGCATAGTGACCGCTCCTCCCTCTACAGGGCTCCTTTCTCTAGCCCTGTAGCAGGACTGCAGGACTGCAGTTTCTGTCCTGGAACTTCCTAAGAGCCCTCAGGGAAGGATTTAGGCTGTTGTTAACTTAGGAGAAAGGCAGAAATTTAACCTCAGGGTCTTTTTTAAGGTGAATTCGTCTCCATTCCTATAATGTCTTGTTCTTCCCACAGGAGGGAAAACACATACTGAAGATTCAACGAAGCATACATGCATTCTAAGACACCAAGACACTCACCGGCTCTTCCTGTCAACAGGCTGAGGAAGTTCAACAGCGTTTGTGTTGGAGTACATCACTGGGGTCTTAGAACATGTTATTCACTCACAGAAAAGTCAGGATGCTGTCCCATTGATCCTATTTCAGAGACAGAAAATAGTGACTCCTAAGCTTTGGGTTTGAGCCATTGGGCAGATATTAGTGTGTGTACTGAATCCAGAGACCAGGGGAGCAGACACAGGTTGGGGAAGTGGAAAGTCAAGAGCAAATTCAACCTGAGATGCCAGTGGGCTTCCCAGGGGTGCTCTCGGATTGACCCTTGAATTCATGGATCCAGTTTTCCTAACACCTTTGGAAGCTAGAGTTATACATTTGGGTGACATCTGCTATGAAACTGACTGAGAGCACACAGAGAGCATTTGTGGAACGAGAAGAGGAGATACCCCAGGATTGTGCTTTGAAACCCCAAGGTAGGTAAAAGACAAAGAGCCAGGAAATCCAGAAGGAGCCCCATTGGGGACAGGAAAACCACAGGCCTCCTCCAGGGCTCCCCCTGCAGCCTGTACCCAGGGAGTCCCAACCACTCCCGCTTTCCTCCATTACACCCTTTTCTCATTTTATTGATGGGATGCTCACAATCTGTAATCCTCTCATTTTGCTTGTTTAATGCCTGTCTTCCTCCACCATATTGTAAGTCCATGAGAGCGAGCTTTGCCAGTCTTGATCATTGTCATATTTTAAGCAA